ATCTAGCCTAAAGAGCACCTCTGTTCATTGCACATAATTATGGCTGCTGAAATTATCTAAGGAAATTTCAATTTCCAGTCTTCATACTATTACTATCAGAGTATTTTCTGGAGTGAAGTGGGCAGCATGTTCCTGAGATGAGTTCAAGTCAGGCTGGCAGGAGACCCCCTAATGTGGAATTTGCTCCTGCTGGAACTTGATTTTGCTGGGAGTTATAATGAGATATGATGTGAGATGTGTCTCCTTGGTCAAGTATATACTTAATTACAGATCATCGCTGGGTTATTTAGAGTTCAAATTATACTGGAAAGGGGCTGTTTATATTGTTTATCATGAGCAGCAGATTTACTATCTGTCTGTATTTAAACTATATAATGTGTCTAAATACCAAGGTGACAGACACACAACCTATCATTACATAAATATAATGAGTTAATTCAAATTAAAGGTTAAGAAGATGTTGTGTAACACACTAGATATGGATTTGTTTACAAAGGTTTGACAAAAGTGCCATGTGATGGTTCATTACCACTTTAATTAATGAAAAATAGATCCAGTAATATGCAACAGCCGCTGCTATCACTTAATGCTCTGAAACGAGGTTTGCCAGCCATGAAGTTCAAGAGCCTGATTACAGATAATGGACTTAAGCTTCCTGTTGGAAATTTGTTCATTCTGCAGCCTCAACAGAATTTGAACTTGTGACATTTCCATCATGCTGTAGCTTGACTAGAGGTAAAATAGAAGCAGCTGTGGGGAAACTGCTAATGGACTAACTGAAATACATGAAATCTTTCACTGGGCTGGGCCACCAGGAAGTCTAATTGCCCTGGAGAAATGTTATATTACTAGAAGTGGGCTCAAATTTAAGGTGAAAAAATTCTGAAATAGGAGTTTCAGACGCCAAATTTAAATCTAGAAGTCATATAAAGTTTAGGCACTAAAATTCACTGCTTCCAGTGTTCGAAGGGAAGTGTGCTCGTGTGCTCTTCCCTTGCCCTTGCTGGGCTTCCTCACATAGGAGTCCCAAAGTCTCCTACAGAGTCAGTGGAGAGAAAGAAGCTCCTCTGAAAGCCTAGCAGACTTCAGACGTGCAGGTGAGACTGGCAGGATCTTACTGTTCTGATCCTCAGCTTGTTAGTTATTATCCCCCATTATTTTTATAATGTGCCACTGCACAGGAGAAATCTCACAGACTGAGATTTCATTGTGATGGTAAAACCTCTTATACGCACAGGACAGTGGCCAGAAGTTTAATTTTGTCAGGTCACATGCAACCATCTAGGAGGCCCATTGCCAGAGAAAGGACAATGGGCTCTTCATTTATTTCAGTGTCCCTGAATGGCTTTACAGGGAGGGGATGCCATACTTTCTTCCCAATCAGCAGACATCCTTTTTTATTTCGGGGATCTTCAGGGAGTATGGCTCCTCCTAAGGCACAGGTAGACACTGAGTTCTTCCCGGGCATCGGCGTTCCTGGCCCCGGGAGGCAGCAGTTAGGAGATGCGGTGCCTGGATTGCTACTCTTCTGCATAGCATAACACAGCAACATTGCTCTGCAGTGTTCACAGCCAAGATTCAGACTGATATCCCCGGGAAATATAGGATTTGCAGAAGTAAGTACATCTTTAAGTACATTAAGTGCCTGGGAGGGTACGTTGGTGTGCCCTTTACATTACGTACACAAGCTCATACACAATCAGAGAATATAAGGGATGGGAGGTAACTCCTGACAAGGAACAAAATACAAATCAAGGTTTAATACTGCACTACTATTCCCATTTTCACAAAAATAAACAAGGGTACAAAACTGTCAAATAATTTGATAGATATCATTACTAACCTGGAAGCACACAGCGATGCTTGATGAACTAATTTGTCAGGGTAGTGACATTGTAGACACACTAACGTAAGCACAGAGCTTTGGCCCTGAATAAAATTTTTCTGGTTGTTAGGTTATTAATGGAAAAAAATAAAGGCTGTCTGAATGTGACCCTTGAGGCAATCCTCAAATTTATTATTTCTAGCTCTTAGGCCATTTCCCTATGTGATTTGTGTCTGATCACAAAAATAATCAGAGAACAGATCTGCTGGAGATATATAGCAAATTTAATTAATAGTAAACAGACTAAGTCTTCTAAAATATTGCTGTTCCACTGTAACAATAAGTAGAAGAAATAACTGAATGGATGAGTAAGTAAATAATTAAAAAAACACACGAAAAGTAATAGGCTGAAACTGGCCATGTGCTTTTAAGGAGACCTTAGCACTGAGTTCACTGAGTTCCCCCTGAAGCCATCCTTTCTCCAGGCTGAACAAGCCCAGGTCCCTCAGCCTCTCCTCACAGGGCAAATGCTCCAGCACTGATCATATTGGTGGCTGTCACTGAACTCACTCCAGTTTATTGAAGTCTTTCATGTATGGTGTTGGAGGGGGCAAATGGGGTGCAGTATCTTAGATGTGGTCTAATGAGTGCTGAGTAAAGGGAGATAATAATGTGTCTTCATCTACTGGTGCTCTAGCTAATACAGCCTGTTGGCCTTTGCTGCTAGGGCACACTTTGCCATGACGGCAAAGCCAAAGTGTCAGGCAAGTAGTTACTTTATGTAGCAAGAGCTGCAAGATGACTTGCTAAAGGTCATTCCTCAAAAGATCAAATCTGGAGAGATGCTGAACATCAGAAGCTCCTTTCAGAGATGCCAAAGTCCAGAAATGGACAAAAATCAATCAGCGGAAGAAGAGAGACACAGAATAATTAATGGCAAGAAATTCAAGCTACTGGCTTAGTTTCCAGAAGCTGTGCTAGTAGCTGTACAGTGTTTTGCAGAACAAAGTTCCCTTTTCATCCAGTGAACCAGCACAGGAAGAAATCCACAAGCAAAAGACTGTTGGCTACTAATTATTTCTGCTAGCAAGTGCTAGCAAGGGCGACAGAGAAGATGCTTTTAAGGCTAGAGATTGCCTACATGAACATAGGTGCAACAAGAAGAGCAAGTGAACTCCAGAGAAAGGAGGAAAACTCACAATCAAATGAAGTAAACCCCAACACTCACTGAGGCCCGTGCCAGGAGACCTGCCTGAACTATTTCAGAAACAGTAGGAGGGTAGCTATGGGCTGTTTAATGGAAAGGGGGAAAATCTACGTCAGTCAACCCATGATAACATGCAGACTTTTGAACAAGGAAGAATCCCTCCATTCACTTTTGCTGGGAATTAACACCTCAGATGGAAGTTAATCACTGGCAGAAAACTCACCAGTTGAATGGAAACAGGAAAGGGAGGAAAAACGAAAGCTGAATCGAACAAACTGCTAGTGTCCCCACACAACAGCATTTGGGAGAGCAGCAAACCACTCTGGGATGTCAAATGCTTCTACTAAGTTAAAATTCTTTTAAGATGTATATGTTTCTAGTAAGTTCTAAATGGCTGAGGTAGTGTGTGATTGTGTGCTGACAACCCAACTACTGAAAAGTTTCAGGTGCACCACAAAATCTTGGAATAATGGTAAGTCTGGTTAAGGAGAGTAGCCGGGTTGATGCCAGGGAGAGCGAATGTCTGAATTTCTAGCTTTCCCTTGACAGGTGGCTGGTAAAGGCTGGGAAGATTTTTTAATTTTCTTTCCACTTTCCTTTCGGCCAGACGTGGGAACCTCGGGGCAAGTGTGTGAGCTGGCGCTGGACGGGGTGGGGTAAGGTACCTACCCACCTCCCCTGCTGCCTGAACAAAACAAGGCCAATCCCCATACGTCCTCCTCTCCCACAGTGTCATACAATAGTGTAGATGGGGTGATTCTTTCTGAGGGGGAGTCAGTCTGCGATGCCTTTCCACCTACTCATGCACTTCTTGCTAAAGCCCCTTTCTCCATTGCAGGAATTCCTCAGTGGGAGAAGGTGTGGATTTACCAGGGAATGAGGCAGAAGGCAAAAGCTTGCTTTACACGTTAGCCCTAACCAGTGCACCAGTCTTCTGTGCCATGTGAAAATGCGTAACTCCTTTTTAGACCAGGATTGCATTCATCTACATGACAATATTATTATTCACTGTTTGCACCGAGACCTGTGTGTGTAACTGCTGTAAGCATGTGACTCTGTGTTATAGCTGCTGTATAGATGCATGGGAGAATGTGTTTCCTGCCTCAATCGGTCTATAAGTTAATTTAAGATACAAGCAGATGAAATTAAAGGCTGGAGAGAGGAAGGAGATTGAGAAAGACGTTGGGACATTGATATCCTGAAGTTCCACAGATGTCCTGTAAAAAGCCTTTGCTCCAAACCATTAGAAAAATAAGAAATTATCAGATTAATTTGGTTAGCCATGCTTGATTTCAACCTTTATTGGGAAACTATTTTCCTGCAGTTTTTTTTTTTAAATAGGGTTTTGACTGGTTATGGGCCTATTCACCATTCTCAGAGAGAATTTCTAGATCAAAGAAGGGGAGGAAGAGTCTCTTGAAATAGTTGTAGAAGTATGCTATATCCTATGCCAGAGTCACTGGCAGAGCAGATACCTGGACTGTCATGCAGAGAGCAGCAACGCAGGAAGCAGCAATGTTGACAGAAGACATTTCTAGGTAGGTTTTCAAACTTATTGCAGTGTACACGTCTGATCACAGAGATTAAATAAGGTGAATACCATATGTTCATGGTATGTATGCATGTTTATATAAGATGTCTAATATTCATGCCCATTAAATGCATACAGCTCCCATGATTTTCAAGGAGATTAGCTCTCAGTCCCTCATTCTTTCAATATACATGCCAGCTGAATGACATGCATAGGAAGATGTCTTTGGAGGAACGTAAGAAACATGGGCTGACTGGTATTTAGGGACTTTTATATGTAGAAAAGCCTTGGGCAGATGACAGGTGACACACAGCTATTCTGGATTTACATCTGGTTACTGTAAACAGTCTGATTCCATTAGTTTTCATTCAGAAGCAAAACAGAAGGGGGGAGGCTTTTATTTTTATCTTAAAATAAACTAGAGCTGGGACACTCACCTATTACACAGAATGGTTTCCTTGCAAAGCGCAGTCTTCCTTGCCATCCTCGGTATCGACAACAGCATCCAGCGGACCAGATACGAATAATAAATTCCAAACCAAAGACAACAATCATGACAAATTCCTAGAAATGGAAAATAAGAAAAATGCCTGTTACAGATAACCAACACTGAAGCATCAGGAAACTTATGACCACTGTGTGTGTCTACCAGTATACCTTGAGCTCCTGAAGATCCCAAGCCAAACTTGGGACCCGGTTCCCCAAGATGGTTGCACATCTACACACAAAACACAGTCCCTAGAGCTTCCCAGTGAAGGGTCCAAATCTAACCTGAATAACATTAAGTATCTGCTAAGATTGGCTACTAACTATGAAACGCTAAGGACTGAATCACACTCAAAAAATACCAAAGCGAAATAGACAGTGACTTTGGATATTGTGGATCAGACCACAGGTAATTTAGACAGCTAGTGAGGAATATATGTTATACATCCACATCCATAAAATTAGTTCTTAGTTTGAAGGTGGAATGTTTTGATAGATATATTCTCATTGTAGCAATATACAGGTGAAGTGATTAAGATGATGCAGAAGCATTTAGGAAATCAATTTGTTCCTAGAAGTAGGTTAAGATACATGCAAATGTAATTACATACAATGGGTATGCAATTGTTTGTAAGACAGTAAATGAATGTCCATACTAGGTATAACTTTCCCTGGACAACTTGTGAATGAAAGCATTTAAAAATCTTGCCTTGTTTGTCTGGCTTGCTTTTCGTTCACATTGGAACCTTCTTTAAGATTGTCCATTTCAATAGCATCAACTTGTATTTATGCAACTTTTATTTTTCACTACAACAGTGAGATCAGCAGAGTTGCAGCAATAGAGCTTGGAGCACAATTCACCTCCACACCTTAAGGAAATCTGAATGCCTGTAATATGCAGTGATATAGTACATACACACTAGTATGAAATTATAAACAATTTAGATTCTCTTCTGGAATGCCATCATAAAATTATGGGTTTTGAAATGATAAAATAAAAATCTGTGTGTTAACCAAAAGAAGGAGAAAAGTACTTGAAGGAACTTCTTAAGCAGTTCATCAAGAAGAAGAGGATGAAAGTTGTATTTTATTTGGCAGCTGAACGTATTTCCACGTCCAGGAGAAAGCTGTTCCTTGTCAGCCAATTAATTTGTTTTTTTTCTACAGGATGAGGACTAGTGTGGTACTGGTAAGAAAACACTGCAAATGAATTAGAGGAATATTTGCAAGGGTAGGGTTGATCCAATATTGACTTTTTCCCAATAAACATTTTGCATGTTTTTAGACTGTGAGACCTTACAACTCCGGAAGCCAATAAGGCTGTAAATACCACGTATGTCAACTCGGGCATTAATTTGCCTGAACAAATGGCATTATTAATATTTATCATGTAATGGTGCTTTACTAGCTTATGATCACTGGCAGTACATTGAAACATTGTGAATTTAATTTGCTTTTGCTGTCATAGAACAATTTGAAAACATAGTATTCCTTCCTAAAACATGTGAGCTTGTATAACTACATCACATTGAAAGAGGTTTTAGAACCTTCTTCAGTGTGTTCTTTTCCAGTTTTGTAAATCCTGTATTGAATGCCTAAATCACAGAAGCAGAATGAGATCCCTTTACTAAAACATGGCTAAAGAAAATGTCACATTTTTTGTCAGAAAAGAACACATGGAAAAATGAGTGTGACTGTTTAAGGTTTTCCTTTTATTCATTCTACTACAAGAAACTTCAGCTTGATTCCAGGACAGAGTTATTGCACAACTTTAGAAAGGATTATGTGCAAAATGGAAAAAGTTCTTCATATAGTAACAATAATTCTTAATAGTTGGCTACTATGTGGTACATTTCCTTGTAGGAAATTCTTTGTAGGCCAAGAATAAAATGGACAAGAAGCCAACTGGAAAAAAGGAAGATTATGTATTTTAGTTATTTAACTATCACTTTTATAGTGGTAGTTAAATCATAAATTGTCAAATCTGGTTTACACATTGTTAGATGATGTCTCCGAATTTATGGAGGTTGATGGCAGGCATCCAGGCCATTTGACATCTGATTCTCCTGATGAAGTTTCTTCTTTGGGGCAGGAGTAAGAGATACTGAAGGAGAGGAGGCCAGCGAAGCATGAAACATTCTTTGCTTCCAATAAAATCTTTTTCTTGTTAAAATCTAATCACATTCCATTTGACTAAAGTTTGTTGTTTCCCTGGAAAACAGACTGTGTGTACAGATGCATGAGAAACACCTCGTGCTTTGTAAGTACGCTGAAATTGTCACAGGCATCTTACAGGAGCTGATCCACACACGCAGGAGCATGTCCTCTATCATACTCTAGACGCCAGTAGGACCTCCGATGGAGAACTGGCAAGAACAGAAAGCACCTGATGATCCCGGAATGACTGGTCTACAGCTTCAATACAGTTAAATTAGTATCACAAAACTGCTGGTAGAAGTTGAAAAGAGGTAATTTTTTTTGGTAGTTTACTATTCTGGTTCCTATTAGCGCTATGCAGTTTTGTATTCATCGTCTGCACTACCATTAGCAATTACTATTTGCTATGCTTGCTCAGTTATACCAAGATGGAAAAAGTCATTGTGAGCTGAAAGCACGTGTTTGAGAGTCTCTTGTATTACATGGTGTCCTCGTGTGTCAGAGGCAGAAATCCTATTTGTCTCTCACACACAAACACTTATACATGTACTACAAAGAGAAACTTCATGGAGATATATCTATTCTGAGAGAGAAAAAGAGCAAAAGGATGTTTTCTCAAGTTTTTGGGGTTTTTTTTGACGGTGGGGTAAGAGTATAAGATTTTTCTTGGAGAAACAATGTGAAATATTTTTGTTCATTCCTTGAGAAAAATAGTTACCATTTCTTGCAACATTACGAATTTATGCCTGGTGATATTCTTTCAAAATTTACTGAAGTTTCTGCTACTTAAGTAAATTTTAACAACAGCCACTGTAGTTATAGTAAGTGAGCTCAAATACAGTAAATACGGCTCTGGAATGCTAAAAGAACTGCTGATTTTAAAAATACTGTATATGATTTTCTTCCACACATACCAAATTTCTGGAGGCTTTAAAATACAGTATAAGCTTTAATAACAGAAAAGACATTGAACAAAGTGGAGGTGGGGTTTCACACTTATTTTTGCACTTTCTGAAGTAGTGATGTTTCAAAATGATCCTTATATCCTGGTCACTCCTACTTCCTCAAAGAACAACTGCTTTTGAAGAGAATACATATCATCATGAATAAAGTCTAAAGGAAAAGGATTTTCCTAGAAAACGTGAATGCATTGAAACAGAAACTCTTCATAGTAGTATATGTGACAGTTTTGTTGTATTTTGGATTGGTCCCAGTTGAAAACAGAAAGAAACAAAGAATCCCACACCACTGTGAAAGAAGTAATGTTTTAGTAATCAGTGCACTCAGTCACAATGTAAAGTCAAATCTCTGTCAAGGTTAATGCAGGCCAGGGAATGACATTATTTTTTCCTATGGCAGCTGCACAGTCACAAGGTTCTTGGTTTTCCATGGACAAAAATTGGAAGGATGCATCCCAAACAAGATGAGTTGGTTTTTGGTTTTTTTTAAATTTCATTTGGAATGGCTTATTGCAAAATTAAGCATAAATCTAGGCTTTTAAATAATTTGGTTTTAGTTCCTTAGCAATTGAAACAGAAAATCAGAACATAATCGGAAAGGCATGTGACGGAATAAATCATTACACCTCATATTATTTGTAGGCTTGCTGTAGAAATGATGCATTCCAAGTATCTCTGTCCTACGTATAATATGATGGAACCTCATTAATTTTGGATTACTTATTGATATTAATAACATTTACATCAGAATGGAAAAATCCTGCACTGTTGATAAATCTCTCCTCCTTCAAAATTCAGCAAGGTTGTATTTGAACTGATGAGCAAGTTTAGATTTACTGGAAACCTAACCCTTCCCTTCCTAGGTAGAGCAGGGATGCCCTGGCCTTTGCCATTTCTTCCTTTTCCCCTATCTTCTTGTCCTTTTCCGATCACAGCTGCATCTGGCCTTGCACCACAGTTACCACAATCTGTAACTTTTTTTGATATTTAAGCTCACAGTTAGGCCCCCACAGTAACTGCTATGGAAGACGCATTGATGCTTCAGACAGTGGAAAGTCCTTCTTCCTTCTCAAAGCACAGTGCATCCATACTGATGTCATTCTGAAATGTTTCTGCTTACGCAGCTCCAGTTGTCACAGGGAACTATGCATATGCAGGAGAAGCAAGGCTAAAACATATGGGCTTAAAAGATTCAGTTGTTTTTGGCATAAGGAGCAGAGGTGCCAGTGTGCTCCTGAAGTTTTTTACAGCTGCATGGGCCTTGGTTGCTCTGCCACTGGAACAATGAGAGTGACACAACTGGCAGGAAAGGAAAATAAAAGGTCATCCAGAGCAAGGTTTCTATTAACAGACAGTCCTGGAGGACTCTAATGAACAGGGTTGATAATTAATTAAATCAAGCATACTTTATACAATCCAGCTACAATGAGCACCTTTTTTTTCTTCCCCCCCCCCCCCATCTAATTAGGATACAAGTGATGATTTGCTGAAATTGTCTGCATTAATATACTTCTCAGGTAGTTTTTAATGATAAGGATTTCCCTAAGCATAACATCATTATAACAGCAAAAAACTGTTTTTATCACAGCTTTCTTGTTCATTAACATAACTCCTTATTAAAACTTAAAATAATTTGCTGCTGCTGAAATCAGGTGCCTTGGTTGTAGACCGTCATTTCTGGGAATTAGAACCATTTTCGAGATGAGAAAATGACCAAAGTTGAGCACTCTGTGCTGTTCTTCTAGGATGCTCCTGGTTATTTTGCAATGTGTAAATGAGCTGAGGTTTGGATATAAGAAATCCGCCCACAAGACAATGGCTCTACTGTTATTTTAATTATATTTCTTGCATGGAAATTGTGTTGTTAAGTGTTCTAAAAGCTAGTGAAGAAGGACAACAGAGCTGCAGACTGATGTAAGGAGCTGCCTGCCTTGAGCTTATAGAACTAGATCAACAAGTGAT